CAACATTTCGAACCTCGGGGAGAGGCGCAATTATTGGTAAAGAAGGAGGACTAGTTCTATATACAGGTAAATCTAAAATCCTAAGGGGAATACCTCGAGGAATGAGGTCGAGACGAGGAGACTTATTAGCGCGTGAAGACTCGGGGTCTTCAGCCAAGACACCCGACATCCATGCTTGTCTATGAGCATCTTGGTCGATGCCGAAAGATGATACATCTGAGTGAGAAGGCGAAGACTGATTGGCCGGTTTGAAACCGACTACTTGTACTAAATCAGATGATTGAGCACCCGCGTCGATCAAGCGCTCGATAGTATCAGACGAAGAGTCGGAGTCAGAATCTAGACAAACGAAAAAGAAGAATCGAGATCAGTAAAGGCGAAGTTAGTACAGAGCAAAAAAAGGGATAACCAATGAGTAATTCGATTTATGAAAGTCGACAAAAGTCGAGCCGAGGAATAACCATGAAGGGATGGCTTCGAAGCAAAGGGGGTAACGAGAATACGCTATTCGTCCTAATAACGATGAATGAGCAAGAGTGAAGAAAGTCAAGAAGGACCAAGCCTAAATCAACCCAAGGGACGCAAATCGACTTGATAGTAAAAGTCGACAGAAGACAAGATTGAAACAAACAAGAAATCTAAGGGAAGATCCAGGAAAGAAAGATCTAATGCAACCTGCGTGACATCATTCAACAAACGCCTCGAACACACAGGTTTTGAAACCCAGAAAAATCCAGAAATTCAGAAAAACCCAGAAATTCAGAAAATTTACACAGAACAAAGAGGAATAACATAAGTTGAGATATCATAACACTTACACATGATTGTTGACGGAACTCTGGAAATCTGAAGTCGCCGGAGTGAGAAGCGCCGGAAAGCAGAGAGCACGAAAAAGTAGAGAAGAAGTTCGAGAAGGTTCAGAGAACAAGTGCGGAAAAGTGATCTTTCAAAGAAAGAGGAGAATACTTATAGAGGGAGCAAATGATTGTCAGCTGTTAGATCATGATCTGATCTGACGGTCCCTAGTGAAGCGCGGAAGGCGAGGCGGCGAACTTAAAGTGATGTGATAACTACGAATTTGAAATTCGAAATTTGAAAAGGTGTCAGGTTGTCAGAATTATCCAGAAGACAATAATGAAACCCCTACAACATCGAACAGCCACAAGGGTAGAGCTTTGATGTCGAAGAACAGAGAACGAGTATAGTTAATAAAAGAAGTCGATTACCAAATTTACTCTTAAACAGTCAACTGTTTAGAGTAATTTTCGGGGGGGACTAGATGATATAGTCACATAAGGATAACCCGGTCTAAGAGGCTTTCTGCTCGACCGGTGAGCCATTTGAACGACTCACATGTCGAGGTGACTCGTCGACATGCTCAAGTCGACTTCCCTGAAGTCGATTCTACCGAAAACAATCCAGAAGAGGCAGAAATTGGTCTAGTCGACTCCCACAAGTCGACTCCTAACTATCGACTTTTGCTAGTCGACCTCATACTAGGAGGACATCAAGAATGCAACTCCCAACCATCCAGATACTCTAGGTCGACTTCCACTAGTCGACTTCCTCATGACGACTCTCTAAGAGACGACCACCGCAGGGAATTAAACCAGGTGTAGCCTCCGAAACCGCATATATTCGTAAGTCGACCTCCTAGTTCTCGAGGTCGACTCTGTACATCTCGAGGATCAAAGTGGTGGAGACGATTCACCACACTTGCAACATATCCAAAGCTCTACACATTACCAAGGATAAGAAGGAATCTTGCGATGACTCAGCAACAAGGGGAGACGAATCGACCAGGGTATTTTGGACCTTCTAGGTTCATCGACTTGGGCATTTTGGGCACTTCAAGTAAGTATTCACTCCTATATAAAGGGGACGAGGTAACCCAAACCCTAACTCTCATTCATTCCCACTCTCCCTATAGCTGCTGCGCAGCATCTCTTCATCACTCATATACTGACTTGAGCGTCGGAGACTCTACGCCGGAAACACCTCCGGCGTTGGGGTTTTTGCAGGAATCTCGCGGTCTAGCAACGGTTGGGAAGCGGTTCAAGCAGATCTGAGCTCACAACAACCGGTTTACTCCATATCTGGAAGTAGACCCATCACCTTAATTACTCAAATCATGTGAATTAATATATGGTATATAGTGCATGAATTTATTTTAGGTATTGATGGTTGTTTCTATGGAAAAGAAATTAATCAATATATGGTATAAATTGAGCAAATTTATTTAGGTTATTTGATAACTGTCTTTTTGTAGGGAATTTGTTGAAAATTTAATCAATATACGATGTACTTTTTTCTGTAATGCACAGACTAATATATTGGTTTTTAGGCGTGAGTATCAATTTTCATTTCAATTTTCCGTATGAAATTGACATAATAAAATTACCGTAACTCCGACAGAATAATATGAACTGATATTTTGATATAATGTGCGTGTATCGATATTTTCTTTATATAGAAAAATCTCTGGTCAAATTTTTTTTATAGTTAGTGGGTCTCGATTTAATTCATTTTTTGTTACGACATTTCAAATAATTTTTGTGTGAAATGCACTGTTCATTTTTTTAGAATGATAAAGAGTGTCGATTTTTTTCTGGCATAAAAAATCGTATGACTGATGGTTTTTACTCAACTACTTAAATATTTTGATTTAGATATTTTATACAAAAGTAAATTCATTTTAATTAATTAAACAATATAAGTTTTATATTTATACTTATTATTCACATAAGTTTTTAAATATATGATAAAATTTTGCCAAAATAATTATTTTATGGAATCACGTTATAATCAAATCGAATTTGTGAATAAAAATTTTGAAATGACACATATTTTGAAATGAATATAATGTCATTTATTATCAGTTATGTGCAACGCACAGGATGTGTATTAATTTTAAATAGACATTTTTATGTAATTTCGCACAATTTAAATTTTATATAACATTTTCAATAAATTAAATAAGTACATAGTATTACATATTGATTCCATGTTTCTAATTTATAAATATTATTTATTGAAAATTAATAATTTATAAATATTAATTAATATCACAGCAGCTCTCTCTTTTGCTCTGCCGACAAAATCCCCAAACCCTCGTCTTCAACCTAGCCCCGATTTCGCTGGTTTGCCTCTCTCAGCGGGCCGTCCGGGCTTGTCCGTGGACGGGACTCCGCCGCACATCCATGGATCTGGTCGTGGTGCCTTCTTACTTCGTCTCAAGCCGTGGGAAGCTGGTCGAGTGGTCGGCAATTTTTCTCATCTTGGTGAATCCCGCCGGCAATCTGGGGCGGTGGGGCTCGGTGGGGTGCGGCGTCAGTGGGTGGAGGTGGCTTGGTTTGTTTGCGTCGCCACTGTTGAGGGACGGCTCTCCTTGTCGGTTGCCGCAGACGAGCTCAAGTTGGATCTCCGTTTCCTGTCGGGGTAGCCTAGTAACCTTCGGTTACAGGTTCATCGGCGAGGTCGAGGTGACAGATTGGGTTTGTGTTGGAGGCTCGGTGGGGGTACTTGTTTCTCGCTCGGGTGGGGTCGGAGCAGCCGGGCTCTGCCGCCACTTCTCCCCTTTTTCCTTCTTTCTCCGATGTTGAGTCATAGGGAGGCCCACCATTTTGGAAATTGGCTAGTGGTGTTAGTCGGGTCCGGATCGGTGTTGGTATTGGCTAGTGGTGTTAGCCGGTTGAGGGGATTGTGGCAGCTTACGGTCGGAGTGCGGGTCGGGTCCTCTAGTTTGGTTCGGGGCTTGGGTCTTCGTCTTGCTAGGCTTTAGGCAGTGGCAGGCGTGATTCTTGTGCTTTGCATCTCTCTTTGGGATCGGTCTATGCCCGCTGTTCAATCCGGATGCGTTGCTGAGGGAGGGCTCTCGTTCTTTAGTTTTAGTTGTTTTTGCTTGTTCTAGGATTGTTTTTAGTTTGTTTGCGTTGTGTTATTCAATTTTGGGTTTTTAGTTTGGGCAGTTGCCCCTGTGAGCCCGAGTGTCAACTTATTATCCTGTTGGGATCAGACACTCGGGTATTATCCCGTTGGGATCCTTTTTAGTTTTGTTTGTGTAGTTGGTTTAGTGTGGTTGTGTTTTTAGTGTGTTTTTTCGAGTATTACCCTGTTGGGGCGGCTCTAGGCGATCTCCGGATCTGCCTCCCAGTTTTCTAGTCTCTGGTTGTACTATTCAGCCTTTGGCTGCTTTCTTTTCGCACTTTGTGCGATTTTTATTAATATAGTACGTCTGTCGTTCAAAAAAAAAAAAAATAATAATAATATGTGTTACCCGTGGGATTCTTACCAGTTATTTATATGTAGTATAGACCGTATACTACTTCTAACCTTCTTGCACTCAATTTTCTCCCTTTCTCCGTCAAATCTTCTCAACACCTCTCAATTCTCATCTCCCACCCTCTCTCGCCCGCCGGCGTTCAACGTCACGCTCCAGCCTAGTAAGAACCGCGATCGCACGTTCGCATTGTCCTCTCGCTACTTAGATCTTAATCTTCTGTGTTTCTCATCTGTGCTCTCTCTCGAATCTCTCAATTAATCTACGACTCTTTTTTTTCGCTGAGTTTCATGATTTTCATCCTTTTTAGTCTTACATCTGACTTTTATGCACGATTCCTGGTTCGACATGTTCTGATTTAATCGTAGGAAAGATTCTTGATTTAAGCTGGATTTACTGTTAATTAGGTCAAACCCAACAAAACTAGTTTAGATTAAGTTTTTCATTCTGAATTAGAATTGAAGACGTTGTATGTAACTATAGCAATCTAATTTCATCCGCATTTAGCTGGAAACCCCCAGTTTCCCGATGTCCTTTTTCGTATGTGATTTCAAATCAATTTTACCTAAAATACACACAATTGTTTCAGCCGTTGTAGACTTATCTGATAGCATCTTATGAGAATTCAAGAACTTACTTTGGATTTTCTTGTGGATTTTCATTTCAGAGTTTACAATATCACCTCACATTGTGAAAGGACAAATAACGAACAAATAGGAAAATGGCTGATCAGATTAAGCAATTGACCAAGGTCAACCAGCTGCGCCCATTGGACAGTGGCCTTAATTTAACAGTTAAGGTTGTCAATGCAAAGAATGTTGCACAAAGAGGTCCAAACCAAGCACGGATTTCTGAATGCTTAGTTGGGGACGAAACGGGAATTATTATTTTTTCCGCCAGAAAAGATCAAGGTTCGCAACTTTCTGAATTTTGGGATATGTCTTCACTGTATAGGTTACTGAAAGTAGATAGCTTTTTGCTTTAGTGAATATTTGAAGTTTAAAAAAACATATATAATCGTTTATAATTTTGCATCTTTAGCATAAGTGGTCTAGAGTCAATCCCATGATTTGAAAAACTGTGCTGTTGAAATGGCAATATTCTGTCCTCATGTGTACCGATTATCTGAATCTGAATAACGGAAGCTAAATTAAGAAGCTGAAAAACTGGTCTTAACATGATTAAGTAATTACGTGCAACATTAGCTAACCATCTTTTTTTGGTTTACGATTGCGTGGGAGAGGTTGGAGGAAGGATTTCGATCCAATCTGTACAAAAGAGATTTTGAACTCCATCTTAATATATGGAGCTTGAATTAGGTCTGAATGATTTTAAAAACTCCAGCTTGTTGTGTGATTACTGAACTCGCCAGTTTATCTATTGCTACAGTTTTAAATTCTCGATTTCAGATCCATCATTCTAATAAAACCTCGTATTTAGATTTGAACATGGAAATTCCAGGAGGTTGAGTTTGTGGGTTCTGATTATGAAGAAAGATATTTTTCCTGCATTAAATATTTGTCCCTGGTTTTGATGCATAATTGTGCCTCTCCACTTTTGAACTTATTTAATTTTAATTAGATTAAAATGATACCACTTGTCATTTTGACATTTGTGGCAGTGTTTTGAGACCCGGACCGGCCCGGCGGGTCGACCCGGAGCCGGAACCGGTCCGGGTGGAGTATTTGGACCGGACAACCAAGGACCCGGTCAAAACCCGGCCGACCTGGCAGAGACCTGGCCGACCCGGGGCATTGACCCGGCTGGGTCAACCAGGTTGACCCGGTCCATATATATTTTTTATATATTTTTTATATATTTTTTTATTTTTTTTGTTTTTTAAAAATAAAAATATATATATATATATGTTTATATGGTAAATATTTATCATGAGATACATATTATTAACACTTTAATATACAAATTTTATACACAAAACATTTAATTTTGTTACTTTTATGTATATTTATATAACAAAAATACTCTATATATAATTTTAAAAATTTTAAAATTAATTATCCGGTTCAGCAATTGACCCGGTGACCCGACGGTTGAACCGGTGACCCGAGGACCTGCCCGGGTCGATCACCGGGCCGGTTTAAAAACTATGATTTGTGGTATATCCATTTAGCCTTATTTTGATTCGAGCATTAAAATTAAGATGATATTTTCTCGTTATGTCAAGCATGATTTTTTTTCTTTTTTTCAATAAATCATTATTGAGGTTTGTTATCATGATCTCAGATCTGGTATAGTATATACCGTAGAGGTTAATTAAAGAATTGCATTTACCTCTTGATATTTGTATCCATCAACTTACACTCTCGGACCCTGTAACTGGAATTATTTATGCATATATCCCCGAAGGTGCATTTTGTTATTTGATGTTTTATTATTTTATTTTTCATGTTATTAGGTCATTCCCAAATATCTGATTATCCCTTGCATGATTCAAACACCTAGGATCATCCGGCGTTAAGTTTCTTCCTAGAGTAAATTCTATTATTGTTGTACATTTTACTTACACTAAATAAATTTGGTTTGTGTTAGTGGATCTTTCTAAAGAAGGTAACACCCTTGTCCTCACGAATGCAAAAGTTGAGATGTTCAAGGGATCAATGAGACTGGCTGTGGATCGTTTGGGCCGTGTTGAAGTGGGCGAGCCTGCTGGCTTCACTGTGGATGAGAGTAACAATTTATCGTTGATTGAGTTTGAACGTATTGATGTTATGGTTTGAGCAAGGCTCCGGATATGTTATGGTCTTTGGATTTTGAAGTTGCTTTATTTCTTTAGACTTTCT